GGGGTCGCTATGAGTCGGGGCCGACTCGACGGCAAACAACAACAACAACAACAACATACACATACATACATATATATATACATGTGTGTGTGTGTGTGTGTATACATACACCAAAGATTATCAGTGGTTACTGGGAATGGGAGGAATGGGAAAAGAGTGGTGTTGCTTAGGGGGCATTGACTACTTTACGTTAAAGGTGGTAGAATCATTTGGAAAAGGATAGTAATAATGGTTATATCACATGGGGAATGTAATCAAGGTCACTGAAATTTACATATAGAAATTACAGTATTGGTGAATGTTTTGTTGCATATATTTTCAACCTAATAATAATAATAATAATAATAAATCTACCTTAAGTTTAAAAATATCTTCCTCAATAGATCCATATATCCTAATATGGAAAGGTCTTCAAGATACATACAAGTGAAAGATGCAAAGTTAGGGATATATATATAGTAGTTTCTGGACTGCATAAATGAGTCTAGAAACTACTATATATAAAATGAGTAGGAAGGAGTCTCCCTTTAAGAAGGGAATCAACCTTAATGAAAGGGAAACTGTGAGGCAAATAACTTAGATTTACAAGTATGTTGTTTAACTCAGGTAGTATGTTGTCAGTCCTCTTTGCTGATAAAAATGCTAAAGATGTATAATATTCACAACCCAGGGAACTAAACAAAGAGTATATGGTAATCATATTAAAGAAAAGACCTCAGGTAAGATTAAATGAGACTATGTTGTTTTCTATCATACATGACAAATTTCTAAGCCATGGCTTCCATTCAGTATAAATGGACTATGATTTAGTTGTTAAATTGTTTTACTATAGAGGCCATCTTTCTCCATCTGAAATGAAAATCTCTAGATTATGGACATCAGTGTTTAGGAGACATTTTTTAACTAATCAAGAAAAGTCATAAAACATGGCTAGTACTGGCAATGTGGCTCTACATATTTCTACAATATTGTGTTGAATATGTAGACTCTTTTCTATAAGGAATTATATGAAAGTGTTAACAGTGGTTATTTTGGAGAGAGAAACTGGGAGTGAAGTGCCTTTCATTCTTCATTTTATATCCTGCATTATTTACATTTTTAAAATTCACACGCAAGTATTATGTTTCTTCTTTAATGTCAAAAAAAGGTGAGAAATGGTGCATTACTTTTTCTTCTTTAAACTTCTCATGCATAGGAAAACTAATAAATATTATTAATTTAAAAAACTGTAATCTGGCTTATGGGAAAAAGATTTACTGAAATATCTATCTGGTCTGTCTGTTGTGAAGGGCTTGGAAGCCCATAAGAACAGAATCCACAAGTGAAAGAAGTTGTAAAAGGTACTCTCTACAGTGAAGGGAGTACTGTAAACTGAGAGGACCTCACTGGAGGACAATGCTATTAAATATTTAAGTGTTCATACCGTTCACACTCTGTGCCAGCAATCCTGGTGCTCAGAATTTATCTCACCGGAAGACTTGCTGAACCACTTAAAGATGTATGTAAAAGGATGTCTACTGCAGTGGTTTATATTAAAGGAAAACTAGAAAGAATTCAAACATCCATTAAGAGGCAGTTGGTTATGATACATCCATAGTCTACCACCATTTAAATGAGTGAAGTTGATTTATATAGAGAGAGATGTCCAAAACTGATTGTTAACTGAAAAAAACTATATGTATAAACCATATGTATGTACACGGTGGGGGTGGGGGTGCTGGCGGCGGCGGCTAGCTGCCATTGAGTTGATTCTGACTCATGGCAACCCCATGTGTGCCATGCAGAACTGTTTCATAGGGTTTTCAAGGGTGTGATTTATCAAGAGCAGATCACCAGGCCTGTCTTCCAAGGTACCCACTCCAGGTAGGTTCGAACTGCCAACCTTTGGTTAGTAGGCAAGTGTTTAACCTTTTGCATAGCTACATTTTTAAAAAAATATCATATGGATAAAACAGCTTTTAAAAAGAGATATGGAAGACCATACACAAAGTAGTTAATGGTGGTTATCACTGGAAAGAAGAATGATGGGACCTTCTGTCTACATTTTATGTGATATCTAAGCATTTTACAATGACAAGATTTTTTTAATTAAAAAATATATTATAAATGATGTTATAGAAGAAAATATGATACAACATGGTGTACACAAAATACTGTCAAGCAAAAAAGTGGTTTTAAAATAACAAGTAAAGGATTATCCCATTTCTATAAAAAATATTATATAGAGATACATATACACATATACATATGCATACACACACACACATATATACATAGGCACTCTGGTGGCGTAGTGCCTAAGGCATTTGACTGCTAACCAGAAGGCTGGCGGTTCAAACCCACCAGCCACTCCTCAAAAGGAAGACTGGGCAATCTACTCCTGTAGAGATACCACCTCAGAAACCCAAGGAGAGGTCAGAACTGACTCGACGGCAATGAGTTTGTTTTTTATATGTTGTTGTTGTTATGTGCCGTCGAGTCGGCCCCGACTCATAGCGACCCCTCCTTGGGTTTCCGAGGCAGTATCACTACGGAAGTAGGATTGCCCAACCTTCCTTCCGAGGAGTGGCTGGTGGGTTTGAACCGCCAGCCGTCTGGTTAGCAGGCAAGTGTCTTAGCCACTATGCTACCAGAGCTCCTAATATTTAATATATATGATAATATTTACATAAATGTTAATAGTGTTTATCTTTACATTTTAGGAGTTTTTGTTATTTCTTCCTTTATATTTAAAACTTTTCTAAAGTGAAAATACGTAATTTTTTTTTAAATTTGTTAATTTAAAATTTTTTTTTCAGTATGTCCTCCCCTCCTGTACCACCTCTGAAAATAAGTAACTTTTAAACCAGAAAAGTTAAGGTTTTAAAAACAAAGAGATTAATATTCTCACTACATAAACAACTCTCATAAATTAGTAATAATAAAAAAAAAACTAAACAGAGAAAAAGGGGCAAGAGCTTAGTACTAAAAACAGAAGAAATACAAACGTCCAATAAAAAATGATGTTCCACATTTTAAAAGAAAAGGAAACCAAAATTATAACACCGTTTTTCACCTGTCAAATTGGAAAACGAAAATTTAATTGTAATACCCAATGAGCACCCTCATTCACTTCCGGCAGGAGAGTAAGTCCATTCAACTTTTATGGGGGCAATTCAGAAATACATAATCAAAAAGCTTAAATTGTACATATCCTTTGACCTAGAAATTCTAGGTCTAAGAATTTATACTATGGAAATCACACACATAGGCAAACATTTGACTACAAGGATGTTTATTATCATATTGTTTATAATAATGCGATATCAAAACAACTTAAAGGAATAACATTTAAGGAACTGGTTATCATAAGGAATTGACTACATTAACAGCACATGCAACTATTTTATTCTTTGCTGTTATTTAAATGGAGTCACAATAGGACATGAATAAATCTCAAAAATACATGGAGTGAGAGAAGCCAGATATAAAAGAGTACATACCGTATGATTCCCTGTTACGAAGTTTAAGAATGGGCAATACTTATCTATAGTGGCAGATGGCAAAACAGTGGTTATCTAGGGGTGATACTGACTAGAAAGCGGCATAAGGCAGCCTTCAGAGGTGATACAATTGCTCTAGATATCTATTTGGGTAATGGTTACATGAGTGTCTACATGTGTAAAATTCATCAAATTGTTTAAGATATATGCACTGCATGAATTTATACCCCAATAACTGCTGTCTGCTATCATAAAACATATCATCAGTAAAATTATGTTATAGTGGCTCTTAAACACATGAATTGATGCTCAACCTCACTCTTAATAAGACAAATGAATATAAAAACTATGAAATAGCATTTTTTTTTTTTTACCTATCAAAGTGGCCAAAATAACATAGTTTGGTGGTGCACTGGGTCGGTGAGGAAACAGACGTCTACATACCACTGGTAGGAGTATAAACTGGGGCCAGCTCTATGAAAGATGATTTGGAACTGTCTCTGAAATTTTCAAATATATATACATTATGACCTCCACTTCCAAAAATTATACTAGATGGTGCACATTTGGGAGCTCTGGTGGCATAGTGCCTAAGGCATTTGACTGCTAACCAGAAGGGTGGAGGTTCAAACCCACCAGCCACTCCTCTAAAGGAAGGTTGGGCAGTCTACTCCCATAGAGATAAAACAACAACAAAAAAAACACCCACTGCTGTGCAGTTGGATCCGACTCATAGCGACC